GACTGGAGATCCACTGAGAGATTCTGATGATGGGAAATTTTAAAAGCTGTGTTCCTTTTAAAATAGGGAAGAGATTGAAGCTGTGGAGCCCAATTAGGAGGCTGTCATAATAAAAGGTGTGAATAAAGCCCTTTTCCAGAATAACATCGGAGAGGACAGAATAAAGGAATAGTCTTTAAGAAGAAATAATGTACTGACCTCTTCCTGTTCACATTTTATTGAAAAATAGTGGGGAAATCACTTTTTTGGTAATACTCAAACTAAGAGACTTTAGACTCCCAAAGTTACCTTGTCAGCCCAGTGAAACTCCCATGGCAAATAAGCAGCCTGTTAGCCAAACCTCAAGTCCTGGGGCCGCTCTAATGTCTTCAGGGTTTTGACTGGGGGGAAGGGGCTGGACTGAGCTGCCCATGGGGTTCCCCTGGGCCTAGGCTGGCAATTCTCTGCCATCACTGATGAGCTCCAGAGAGAATGCAAGAGCACCAACCTGCCTCATGCCATCCATATCCAACAGAGCTACTTAATCTCCTTTCCCTAAGAACTTTATCTCCCGTGCTAGGTATGTCACTGAGCTGAGCCTGGCCCACTGGGAAGGCTGTGGCTTTCTGCTGAGTGGCCCAGAGGTGGTAGCTGAAGGGTGGAAATTCTCATCAAAAGAGATGAATGTGGATATGGAGGTGGCTGAAAATGAGCAGAGGGGCAGGGCTCCCTGGGGGGCACGCACCTCCCTGTGGGGTGGGCTTCCTGCAACAGTCCTCCTTTTCTCTTGCTCAGGTTATTTTCCTGACAAAAATGACAGAGGATGGATGGAACAAAAATACAGGCCAATAGACAAGCATGTGTGTGTGTGTGTGTGTGTGTGAGAGAGAGAGAGAGAGAGAGAGAGGTGTCAAAATGACAAATGAATCAGATGAATGTGGCTTTGAATTGCATGGTGCTACATAAACTGCAAAATAAGAATGTAAGTGATAATTATTAGTGGAGGAGGAAGACGCTATTTTGAATGGAACCCAGGATTTGAGAATTAAAAGGGGTTATTTTTTAAACAAACCAAACTTTGCTGTTGAAATGCATCGTTTCTCTTTTAAAATCAATAACCTTGAAGCTTGACACTGATTTCAAAGGTAACTGTTCAAAATACAGGTGACTTTGATTCTGGGATTAATCTCTGGAACCAGCTGATGGGAAAATATTTCATCAGTTTATAGTTGCATTGTGTTCAAACTTTATCTACTGTCCAGAACCTGTAAAGAACCTACAAAAACATTCTTTGGGCACAGAACAGTTTGCAAGGGAGTCTTGAGATTCCTGTTCTTCAAGAGTTACAGAAATTCACATTTGAGGGTGACATATCTGGGGGCAATTTCTTTCTGAACCTAAGGAGCAGACTGGTTGGAGTAGGTGATGAGTCTCCCAAAGGAATTGTCAGAGGAAACCACACCACCGCTGTACGACTGAATGGTCCATTGGAGTCATATGGGTTTTGCTATAATTTCTGTAGTGACAATGGTTTTGGGGGTATGTATGCAAGCCAGTGTGTGGTGTGTGCATGTGTATATACACATGTACGTGGGTGTAGTGTGCAGGTATGAGAGCATGTGTGTGCAGGTATTCATCACTGGTGGGGTGCTAGCAGTGACACTGCTTCCCCAGATGTCTAGCCCCCTTGACCAAGTCAAACTAAGAGGCACAGTCCTAGAAAAAGGCATCGGAGGGCTGAAATGTCCCAGAGGCCCACCTGGTTGCAGATGAAAGCAGATTTGATGGGCTTAGCTGCTCCTGGAGGCATCCTGGGGAGGGGGTTGGGGGTTATGCTGATGTTCTGAGACACAGAGGATTTCTTGTGATTCTCTCACAGGCAGAACACTGTTAAGAACAGATTTTTAGATGAATTAGTTCACTTCTCAAGTTCCTGTGAAAGGTACCATTGTCCTCATTTTATAGATGAGAAAATTGAGACACAGAAGAGCTACATGACTTACAATCAAAGTCAATTCACTGATCGTTGGCAGAACTGCGACAGACACAGATTTGATTTCTAAGCTCAGGCCCTTTCTATAGCCAGCACCAGCACTTCCCAGTTCTCCCTGGCTCTGTGCAAAGTTCTGTGAGACTTTCCCTGATGGGGGCATCTCTGGAAATCAGACCTTCTCATTAACCTCATGAACGACAGTGCCCCATATGACACAACAGACCCCAAGAAAGGCTCCTTAGCTCCTACTAACTTCCTTCGTGACCTTCGTGAGCTCCTCAAGTTGCCAGGGTCATGGTCGCCCTCCATGGAGTGAGGGGCTAGAACTACAGGAAACTTGCAGCTGCACAGCTCAAGGGCTGGGACTCGTGTGCTTACCCATTCCCCACAGCTGGCACCCTGTGGCCGCTCCCAGCTCACCCTGAGGGCACTCCACTCCCACCACACTGCTGCCTCCTGTCCTTCTCTGGTCTCCTTCCATATCTTATCTGAACTTACTTGGATTCCTCAAATATTTTTATTTCTTTGACTTCTATATAGCCTTCTAAATTAAGAATAACCACTATTCATGCTTTCACTCTCTGTGAGACATTGTTCACAAGTGGTGTTGAGATTAGTATTCTTTTCTTGCCTCCTTGGGTACATGTACAAGAGATTCTCTGAAGTGAAATGTCTGGGATGGAGCTGCTGAGTCATAATATGGCTTGTGCATCACAGATTGCCAAACTGCTCCCGGAAGTGGTGCTACCAGTCCGAGTGCCTACCAGCAACGTGCCAGAGTCCTGTTAATGTCCTCCCCACAGCCATCCAGCTTGGCTTCCTCCAAACTAACATTTTATTGCATCTATCTTAGGGAGCTTACTATTTTCTCCTATGTGTATATATATATATCTGTTCCCTCCCCTAGTGGGTTGTAAACTTCAGAAGGGCAGAATTCTTGCTAAAAATATTCTTCCCACTGGGTTTATTAAGCTTCAAAAGTACACAATAAAGAGTTGTGAACTAATGAGTGAGCAGAATGACTTCTTTTTGAGCCACAGAGATGGGGAGTTCCATGAGGGCAGGGGCAAGGAGCTCAAGCTCTGCTTATCTGGCAAGAATGTGGGTGGGAAATCCCCACCTCTGCTGCAGAGATGACCACACAGTGGTCACAGCTGGCCCACAGACTAAAGAGTGCCCCGCCAATGGAGGACTGCTGCCCACCTCTGGAGCCCAGCTTTAGATCACTTTTCAGCACCGTAGTCACTAAACTTTCACTGATTGTTATAAGTGACAACTTTCCTGGTCTTTGGGGGCATCTTTATTACATACCAAGAGGGCTGCTTCTGGCAGAACTCGCCCATCGCTGCCCCACCCTACTGCCAAGAGCTGGATTGTGTCCACATGGCCTTTGGACCAGGGTGACATGACCATGGTAAATGCCTCCCCTTTTTGTCACCCCAGCAGTTCCGGGCTGACTCATTTTCTAAATAAGTTGCTTGTGGGTTTTGGTCTGACATCACATGTGGAAGAATGAGTAATTTTTTAAGAACCAGAATTACAGGCAATCAGAGTAAGACTGTGCATATTACGGTTTTGGATAAGGGGTCAGGAGAGGGTAACAGGCCCTCTCACTGCCTCCTACCCTCCTCTTCCTGGGGCCAAAGGAGAGAGAGAAGGGGGGGAAAGGAGGGGAATACGGGTTGAAGAAGTTTGTGTCTATCTATCTAGTTATTACACTACTTGCAATTTTATCAAACTCTATTGCCTCTGCTAAATGTAATAGAAGTACTATAACAAAGTAGTGGCAGTGAAGAGTTCTACACAGCTTGGAGTCAAATTCCAGCCCACCACATCCCACCTGGATGACCTTCATGGAGCTTCCGAATCTTGAAGTGATGTGTATCAGTTACGGTCCCTGTTAAACGGGGTTGTGCTCAGGAACAAGTGAAGAGCTGCACATTGTACTTTAAATTGTGCCTGTCACTCAGCAGCCTTCGTGGATGTGTGAGGAGATATTTCCCTGATGTATCACTATGTTTATGCTCATAGCAAATGTTTAATAGATTTTTTTAAATGAAATGGGTATGTCCTATTAAAACATTTGAAATCAGGGGTATAGAAATGACAACTAGTTGCAGACTCCTGGAAAGAGAAGGAACCTTAAAGATCAGTTACCTTGGGCCCAGGTAGTCCTTGCCGGTACCTTTGGCCTAGCTTATTAGTAGTTTATTCCTTAGCAATGGGAGCGGGGGAATCCTCCTCATACCACAGGCCCATAGGAGTCACTGTTTTTTAACCCTAAGAAGGTATAGTTCTAGATCCTTAGGCCCTGAAAACATGTCTTGCATTAGAAAGAACCTGGCACCAGAGAAATCCATTCCTTGACCTTGGAACTTGTGGCTTGTGAGGAGAGGGGGCAGGACCATGGCATTTGGGTGTGTGGCTTTGTTGAGTTAGTAAAATGAGAACCCTGTGGAGGAAAGCACGTAGACAGAGCGTGGCTATATTAATTGCTTTTTATCCATGCGTGGTATTTGTCTTCAGGGCACTTTTTGGTCTTTGGGAACAAAGTCTTGAATACCAGAGAACTATGAAGAAGCCAAAGTGAAGTGTCCGGAGTCCACCTGGATAGCAGATCAGGACGCTGGGGCTGGCTGGTAGACCCCACTCACTGGTCCACTGTGGGCTTCTGCTGGGAATGCTGTGGGCCAGACAAGTGGGTCTGACTGGGCTGCCACAGAAGCCGAGGAGCTGGGCTTATTGGAAAGGCTACATGTTCAGGTAGAAACTGTTACTGAAGGAAGTCAGCTGTCCTGGAGGAAACAGAGTCATGGGGTGGTGTCAGGAGGCACGTCCATACTCTCAGCCACCTGCCAAGACAGTCACACGTGCACACCCAGACTGACTGGAAGCACCCCCTCCTAGGCTCTTCCCCTTCCTACACTCGCAGACACACACACGTGCCTCACACGCACCTTCTCAGTCACAAGGTGGCCAGGGGAGACCTCGGGGTTGAATCAAATGCTGGTTAATGCTGCCACTTTTATTATACCAGAGGTCTTAACATTTATTTGGAGATGAACACAGACTTGGCCGGCCGCCCTGACAGAGGCATGCATTCTCTACAGCGCAGCTTGGGAGTTCATTGTCCCTAGACACACATGTCAGAAGGGATCTCCAGAGGAGGGAGACAGGGCAACTGGCTCCTGGTCCTCTCCATCTGGGCTCACTAATGGTGCTTCCCCATGATGGAAATTGAGGAGTCTCATGAGCAGGGCAGGTGTGTCTTAAACAGATGTGACAAGGATTCCACATACGGGCAAGTTCCTAACACTCAGAGCCAAAGAGGACTTTGGGTTAGGGACAGACAACCAGACAGGCAGCACTGGCTAATGGGGGGCATGCTTCGCACTGCATCTGAGCTAGGGTAAGCTGCCAGGAGCCCACAGGGCGAAGTCCTGAAAGAGTAAGACAAGATGGCGCAGTCACGATAAGGCCACTAGACTCACAGCGAACCGAATGAACAGGACCGCACAGGACGATCTCCTGACTACAGGACAGCAGCTCCACCCAACGGCAGGTGCCCCTCCCTGGTTAGGCACCTGCCCTGAGACCTTCCCATGGGCCTTTCTGAGCTGCATGACATCACTGAGCACAACAGAGCAGAGGAGGGGGCCACGCGCATCACGGCCGTGGGACAGAGCCACCAAGTGTGGCTGAGTGTTGTTGGCAAATGTCTCAGGTGCCCCCATATGTCTGGAGAGCTAATCTGAAAAGAGGCTGGCAAAGGACTTCCTCAAGCTCCGGATGGTCTCCGCTTTGGCTTCATCCTCACTGGTTGAAGACCGGAAGAAGGAGGACTCAGAGAAGCTGAAGGCATTTGTCAGGGACTGCGACTTGCTTGAAGATAAAAACCAGAGAGAAAGTGAGAGGGTGTGTTCCCAGCGAGGCAGGAGGGATGGTGACAGGAGGAGAGAGACGTAACAGGGACCCCCGCACCCCCCCGGGAAGCCAGACCAGGTGACAGAGGAGAAAGTCAGCCAAAGATGTATGACCAGGCACTGGGGCGACCAGTTGCTATTTGTTCACCTTCAGGAAAGGATGGGGCAGCAGGGTTGCTGGGGGAAGAGAAGAAGAGAGAAGAGAAAGAGGGAGAAGGCAAAGGAGAAGGAGGGGTGACTCGGAAGTCCCTGCTCTTATTTAATGCCAGAGGGTTAATTTCAGAGGCGCCAATATGGTGAGGACTAATCCAGAACTCACACCACAGGTACCTGGGACTTGCTTTCATTTTCCACCAACTGATGGAATTTGCATCAGAAGACCCCAGAGAAGCCTGGTTCTGCATCTCACCTCACCCATCCTGGCCTTGGGCCAGCCGTGTGCTTCCCTGGGCCTGACTTTCTCACTTGTGACATGGAGATGTTTGGTAAAATGATCTCTAGACATTCTTTGTTTGTTTGTTTTTTGTCTGACTGCAATGAAACTTTCAGCTTGGCATGAACCCAGTGGCTTGGGTGACTGATTTCTAAGATGGCTTTGACCTACCCCGTCACCTTCCTCCGAGGGTCCCTGACGTGAAGCCTGTGGGGTTCAGAGTGTTGTGGTGCAAAGGGATGAGCAAGAGCTGTACAAGGTCATTAGGCAGTTTTCTGATTAAAATATCCAAATCACTCACATCTTAGGGAATAACTTTTCCCTTGAGAGACAAGCGGCTCAGAGAGAAAAACTGGGGCAGCAAGGAGGTGGAAAGGGGCAGGCCCAATGCAGCCTGACTTCCGAGTTCTGGCTCTAGCACCTTCACCTGGTGTCTTAGGACTCCCAGCCCTTCCCTGAACTCTGGGTGCTACCCCGGAAAGTCCCTTCCACAGGTGCCTAAGCAGTTTCTCCCCTGCAGTGACTATGAACAGATGCCCTGCTTCTCATTAGGGCCAGGATGAGCCCCAACATGCAGCCCTCCGGGAGGGGGTGCTCCCCTGCATGCACAGGCACAGCCGAGGGCCCCGGCCACGAGCCTCATACCCATCAGCAGGGTCCCATTCAGCAACTTCAGCCCCAAGATCTAGCCTCAGTGGGCAGATAGGAGAGGTAGGAGACTGTAAAGATGCCACATGCAAAATGGCTGGGATTAACGGAAATGGGGGGCAGGAGAGCACAGCTTCCCCCAGCCAGCACTGGGAGCAGGAGTAGGCAATGCTCAACTGGCCAGGTAGGACGGAGACCTGGAGAGCAGCTCTCCGGACAGTGGAGCCCAAACTTGGGCTTTACTAGCAACGAGGCAAATGGTTTTGTAGAAAAACTGAGTCTCAGCTGACAATGTTTACTACTCTAAGATGCAATGATGACACACTCAACGGGCTCATTTGATCCCTCAAATCTGAGAGGCCCTTCTCCCTCCCTGAAGACTCCCATCACTGGACTCTGAGAAGCTGGGCGGGTGCTGCCCTCCGCCCAGAGACTGTGCTGAGTGTGGCCACAGGCTGGTCCGGGGGCAGAGGGACAAGTCTGTCCCTCCCAAGGGCGGGGTCCCAGCTCCTGGGGCCTGTCAGCCCCAGAGGGACTGAGTGCCGTCAGAGGAAGGGGTCCCTTAGCACCTCTCTGGGTGCTGCTCCGCCACCTTCACCAGAAACCCGCCTCCTCTGACAAAGCTGATGGGAAGAAACTGAAATGGACTCAACTACTTCCCCTTTTCCTCTAGACAGCCTTGGCCACTACACACTCTAAACTGTGAGTCAGAGCCAGGAAAAAGGACTTTTTGAAAAGAAATTTTGAGAGAGACAGAGAAAGAGAGAAAAGAAACGGAAAACAGAGTGGGAGACAGAATTAAAAAAAAAAAAAAACAAACAAACGAAAATCCTGGGTAAGCAGCAGAACAGAACAGGGCTCTGCCTCGGGACCAGCTCCCGGAGGAAGGGAGGCTCTGAGCAGTCACCAGACCTTAGTCTTTCACTTCCCTCTTTTCTATCCTCCCCAATCACTCGCAACTGAGCCTCTTGCCAAAAAAAAAAAACCCCAAAACCAAAAAAAAAAAGACCCCACAAAAATAAAGTCTGTAAGAAGGCTGATAGAAGGTGCTTTCTAGCAGCTCAGAGCCCCAGGCCTGGAGGAGGGGCAGGAAGAGGGGAGGGGAAGGAGCTGCTGAGTCGTCTCTTACTTGAGCTGTGGGTGAGGCTGGGGCTTCTGTGGTGGAGCAGCTGGGGGTGGCTGGGCCTCTGCCAGGGAGTTGCCGCTGGAAGGTGCATCTCCGTGGGTGGTGGGGCCGCCTGGCCGCTGAGGAGCTGAGGAGGAGGAAGAGGAGGAGGAGGAGGAAGAGGGCAGTGATGATCCAGGGGGGAGCCAGTGTGCAGGCAGCACCTTGCCTGGGGGCTGCATTCCTTGGGGTTGCCCAGGGCCCCCTAGGTTCAGTACAAGAAAAACTTCATAATTTAACCATATCAAAGGGTTTCCTTATTAGAATCTACGTCCCAACGGGTGTGGTTAGTTAATTACCAAAAGGATAAGCTCTATTGCAAGAAGTCACCTAAGGCTCTGAAGGGCTCCAGAGAGATTCCCTGGTTACCCTCAGACATCGCCACTACTTGCTCCTCCTCAGAGACCTGCCCCTCAGTCATAGCAAAAGTGGGGCATACAGGGAAGAAACTGTGGGAGGGCAGCCCAGATCAGAGGGAAGCTGGCAAAGGCCCCCCGAGGGACCCCACCCACTTCCCCAGAGGCTCCCCAGGTGCAGGCTGCCCCACCAGGGTTGACTGGCAGGTCTCAGGTCGCACACACAGAGGCGGGCTGGGGGGGTGGCATGGGCCTGGGGCCAGAACCAGAAAACCCTCCAGTGACTCCCAGGGCAAGTTACCAAACTTCTCTAGGTCTCAGTGTTTCCTACTGTAAGTATAAAAAAGCCCACTCTGAATTTCTTTCAAGAAGGTAATGAGTCAGAGGACCACAGTTCTGAAGGTGCTTCAGGGAGGACTCTGTGTTCTGCGACCTTTGGGGAGCACTGCCTGGCACTGCTTCCCAGGAGCTGGCCTTCCCGCTGCGGCCTGCCTCTGTGTGACTGTCCTGAACTCACACCTGTGACCGGGTGGCTCTGGTGCTTCCAGCCATTCTTTTACCTCCAAGCACATCCTCGGGGCCTCCAGCCTCTCCTAGGTGTGTGTGGTGAAAGTCTCCAGAATTCCAAGTCCCCTTCTTTCCTGGACATGTTGTGGGCACCATCTGGCCAACTAGAGGCCCCAAAAGGATGAAGATGCCCTTCTCCCAGCATGTTAGAAAACCACGTGGCAGCCCTCCTTCCTCAAGGGGTGGACAGGCAGACGTGAGCCGCCTAGCTGCTCAAATCGCTGTGAGGGCGGTTACTACACTTGGGAGTGGATGGCGTCTCCATGGGCACTCACTGAAATGTGAGTGGAAATGTGCAGAATCGCTGGGAGATCTGATCTCTCGGGTCAGTTCCAGAGTCTACACCCGCAGGCCTGCTGGCAGGAGGCTGACAGAAACTCAACAGCAGCTAAGAGCAGTGTGGTGACTTCGTTTGCTAGAAATGCCAGAACACCTGTGTGCCTCTGGAGAGGCCGAAATGCATGTCTAGGCCACTCTGTCCCGTGGGGACTATCAGCTCATCTCCCCACTACACGGCACAGGCTGCTCTTTACCACCAATCATCTGTTAGTACCAGGGTTAGTCACAAATAAAGACATACATAAATGAATAAATAACTGGCATTGTCCAAGTTCAAATCAGGTAACCAGTGAAGATGATAAACTAGCAGCTTATTCCATGGGGGCCAGTTTCGCCTCTTCCAATGTTGGGTACCATTTGTATTGGCATTTTCTTGTAAAGCACCGTGGGCAGAGCTCAGCCTCTCGGACCCAAGCCCGAGTGCTTTCCCACCTGTACAGAGATGCTCAAATCGCCAGAAACTGTACAACTTAACACTGAAGACAGATAGAACTTTTCCTTTATTGCACATTAAGCTGTACAAGAGAGTCACAAAAGAGAGGTACTTGGATCACACTTCCAGCATTGTCTGAGGTTCTCCCAGCTGGATCGGTACAAAAAAAGGGGGACAACATCAGAAAAGAAAAGGGTACAAAACACCTGAACGGCAATCCTGTACTGTGACATGATGTCCCCCAGGCCAGAGGTGTCCCTAGCATGCTGCCTGAGGACTCAGGGCAGTCAGGGGTTGCTGCCTGCTTCCACCAGCCACCTGAGAGACCTTGGCTGGCACCACCCTGGAGCCTGACTGAATTCAAATGGTGACTCTGTATTCGTGGCTCACGAATGTCACATGAAAAGCACCTGGATGACCACACTGAAAACATGCAGAGAAGCAACACCACCATCAGCTTGCCACTTGGACAATAAAAGTTAAATGATTAGGAAAAAAAAAATCAATGAAATGCATTCCTCCATTCCAGGAAATGTTGCTTTATTCCTTTCTACGGTTTCATCAGACTGAGAGGTATTTAAGGGCCTGATTCTCAGGCAACCCGCCCGGAAGTGTGTCAATGCATGTGTGTCTCTATTCACACCAGATCCATCACCGTCACCCTCTAAGGGCGGGTTCACCGATGAGAACGTCACACCCAACGCCTTTCCCTGTCACCTCAGAATCTGCCAGCAACCAAAGGAGGAACCAGGGCACAAGGCCCTGGACGCATCTGCCACGGCACGTGCTACCACACTGGGAACACGTCCACCTGGCCAGCCAGCGCTGACATGTCCATGCGGACTACGAGGGAATGTCACAGGCGGGCTGGAAGCATTTCTTCTGAAAGGCAAGCTGCCAGCCCAGGCGCCCATGGTCCATGGTGCCAGAGGAGGTCACGGGGCCCGTCCTGGTATGGCCAGAGGCGATGCTGAACGTGAGGCCTGGTGCAGTGAACCACCTTGTCGCCTGCCTGGGGGCCATGTGGCGGTGGGAAAAAGGACCAACAAAGGTTCTTCCAGAACCACGGCTATGCAGCTCCATGCCAGATTGGCCTCCTATCCTGGCCAAAGACACCAGTTCTGAGGGAGCATACAGTGCCCCGGGGCTCTGGCCTGCCAAAGGACAGCAGGAGCCCCCTCTAGTCCCGTAGGCAGTGTCCCTTCTTAAGGGAAATGCAGCGGTCTTGATTTGGTCTTGTGTAACGAAGCCTCAGGAGAGGCCTGGAGCAAGACGGTCAAAGATCTGCCCAACTTTTCAGCAGCTCCCTGTCTAAAAGCGCTATAGAATCATCTCTGCACCTGGGTCAAGTTTTGGGAAATACGAAGCAGCTCAGTTCCACAGAAGCGCAAATGTGGTCAATTTAGAGCCAGCAACAAAGGGGAACAACGTCAGGGAGACTGAGATCAACACAGAAAATACAGATTCACTTGGATATTGCACATCTGCGGCCCCACTGTGTGTGTGTGTGTGTGTGTGTGTGTCTAGTTCACAGCTAATTAGCTCCTAATAAAATGAGGGGTACACTGGGAGATAAAATACAGAACACATTCCTGGAAAGAGCTTGCTCTTGATAGTTCATGTCATCACTAAAACACAAGAGCTCTGCAGGCACAGCCAGCCTGGCCACAGAGTCAAACTGCACCACGGTCAGCAGATGGAGAGAAAGGTGAAGCCTTCAGAGTCAATGGATGAAGCCACGGAGGTGAGACCGAAGTCTCTTACACGGCTATTTACCCTTGTCATGCAGAAAGGAAGCAAAAGCACAGTGCATGGGAGGGAGGTCCCGAGCACACTCTGGAGGGAAGCAAGGGTGGGGGCAGTTTTGTCTGCACCTGGAGGGGTGAGGACAGGCCTTGGGGTTTATTTTTGTGGTCTCTGTTTCTCCCCTGTCTGCCCCCCGGTCCTATTTCACCCCACATTATGTAACACTTGAAAAAGTACTACCAAACCACCCAGAAGATAGTCACACTGGACTCGGGAGAGGCACGGTTCTTTTGTACACTGTTGACAAACAGCCCTGGAATCACAAGTTATACAGAGAAACGTAAGTGAGCGGTACAAGCACGGACAGGAACAGGCACACAACGGGACAGGGTTGCTGACACTGCACAGGAGGAACACAGTCCAGTCAGCACTGAAAACGCAGAAACGGCACCAATGGGGGTCTCTTGTTCCCCCCTCCCCACTTTCCTTCCTTTCCTTGTTTGTTTTTGGCTTAAAATTTCTGCTTTGAAAAAATTAACTACCAATCGCTCTAAGAAGCGTGGACTTGCTTTGGCCCTACTGCAATGCCATTACAGTCGAGAATATACTGTAAACAACCTTGGGGCGCTGGCCGCTGAGGCGGGGTCTTGCCGGAGTCCAGATCCTTAAGTGTTCCACTCTGGAAGACAAAAACATAAGAGGTTAAAAAAAACTCCAAGCAGATTCCAAAGAAGCCCTGTGGCTCTATGTGAGCCTCAGCCCTAGTGCACCCAGCCAGACCTGCCCACAGCCTTCTGCTGGCTTAGGGGCTCTGTCGGCCTCTGGCCATCACAGGGCTAGAAGTATAGGCAGTGCAGGGCATGGACCAGACCCTCTAATGGGCTGGGTGGAGGGTGCCTCACCCCTTTTACTTCACCACCTAGCATGGTTATTCTTGCTAGAAGCTGAGTTCTTATACTTGGTTTCTTCTCTGGGGGCTTCCACATGCTCAGCCCCCCTCATACTCACAGGTCTGACTTTGTAAAGGAAAGGGAAGGTCAACACTGAATACTGGAGAGCGGCTTGGCTTCAGGGGAGCCTGAGACAGGGTGTGGGATGGGCCAGACAACCAGACTCCCTTGTCCTGGAGAGTCCGCTCTGGGGCTGTCAGCGGTCAGACCCAAGCAGTAGCTGGGCTGGAAGCCTCCTTCGCTTAGGAAGACCTGAACGTTGGCAGCACTGCTTGCTCAAAGCCAAGCTGCTTCTCTCTCTTGATCACATTTCACCCCTAAGTGTGTCCTTTTCTCCCACCTGTGATTCTGTCTATGCCCCTGTAGGAGCAAAGATGCATAGGCCTTCCGTTTGCTTAACACTAGGGTGGAGGAGGGGGAACATCTGGAACATCTTAAGTCAGGCACAGGGAGAAGCTTGAGAATGCCCACAGGCAGCCTGGTGTGTCAATGAGATGTCGAAGTGGCCAGGCTGCAAAGCAGGCACGGGGTGTCAGCACCCGCACTTCCTCTCCCTGTGCCATGCCCCAGCCCTCCCACCACATTAAGATGGCTTCTCCCCCATCCCCCATTGCCCACAGGCCTGTAATTCTGGCCACCTAGCTCCCCTCCTGCCTATTAAGACCCGACTTCAGCTCCGGCACCAAGGAAGCAAGGGTGGGACCTTCGCCAGCAGCGCGGTCAGTCCGTAACAGCACTGCCTGAAACTGTCCTGCTGAGACACTTTAAGACAGGAGGAGGAGGGGGGTCTTTGAAGCCCCTCATGGGACCCCATCATAGGTGCCCCTCCAGTCTGTACCCCCTACCTGTCCCGATCACCGATGGTACATCTGCACTTGCTTTCCCTTCTTTCCCGGCCCAGAGCCCTGGCAACGAAGCACCATACCCTGGAAACCAGCGCGAGCCTTCCCAGTGCACTCAGCCAGCAAGGCCATCAGCTCTCCCTGTCGGCACCTGCGTTCACCACCTGCTCTTGACCAGCTCCAGCCAGGCCCATTTCAATTCTTCCTTTGAGCATTGGAATTGTGTCCCGATTCTCCTGTCTCTTGTCATTCTGTGCTGTATTCTCCAAGCCTAACTTCTTCCTGATTGCGTCCCTTCAAGTATGCTCCACACACCTCATACCTAACACTCGACGAGTCAGTGAATGTGACAGACATTTTCGTATCTCCCTTAAGCCTCACAAGAGCCTGTATCCTGGAGGTGTAGGCCAGTTCTAGCCCACCCATGACTCTCCCCTCTGACTTCTCTCAATTTGGCCTCCTCTTGGAAGACCCACAAAGTGCCGAGTGGACTCACACGGGAAGGGGAACTCACATCTCCAGGCCCTGGGCACAGACGATGAGTCGTCTTCTCTCTGTGAGTTCCTAACAAACACGGAGCCCCTTTCTCCCCCACAAAAAAAAAAAATTGGACATGTGGCCTGATACGGGAACTACTTATTAAAATGTTAAAATAGAGTCAGGGATGTTTTGGAAAATTCAAGATTATTGTCATTTTTATCAACATCAAGCGCAGGCCCTAAATAAATGCTTGTCAAATAAACATACAGCAGTAACAGTGATGAAAGCCAGAAAGAAGTAGAGGGTCAGACTTTGAGAGAAAACACATTAAGTTACAGATGTCAAACCCTATGGTATGTGCTGTCAGCTCTAGTAGGGGCTCTAAAAAGGCCAGGATTGGGAAGTACCCCTGAGATCACAGGTGCCTTCAAAGAGGGACAAGCTGTTTCCACCAACTGCCAACCTGGCCCAGCCAGGACATGGGGACAGGAGCTCTTGACCACAGTGATCTTTCTCTTTGCTTGGCTGACCGCTGGGCAAGTCTGGGACTAGGAATTGATGCTCAGCAGTGGGCACACAAGGTACCAGTGCTGCTTATTCTGCCTTGCTTTGGGACCCTGCACAAGTTCTGTCATCCTTCTATCCCTGACTTTCTTCAGAAAAGTTCCTAGAACATAAAGTAAGATCATCTATAAGGCAGGAATCCACAGGCGCCTTCCCTGGTCAGTGCTAATAAGATGATGTCGACAGTGAGGAGGCCTTTTACTTACAATCTCTGTGGCCTCCCGGGTCTGGCACCCATACTAAACACCCCATCCCAACCCTTCATGCTTCCAGGCCTGGCTTCAGAGGGCGACAGCCAGCTGGAGGGCACAGCCTTCCCTGGCTCCCTAAGAAGCCCTCTGGGTCATGGCCCCTCCTTGCCCAAGAGGGATACTGCAGGCTCTATGGAAAATGGTACACAGACTCCTCCAAAACCTCAAAATGGAAATACCATACTTCTACGTATTTACATAAGGAATATAAAAGACTAATGTGAAAATATACTCATAGCAGTATTCTCCACAATAGCCAAGACATGGAAACAGCCTAAATGCCTACTGACAGGTCTGTTTCAAGAAACAGTGCTCTATGTACTCAACAGAATACTACTCAGCTTTTAGTGCTTTGGGGGACAAAACAGAAGGATCTTCAAGTGACTATGCTAAGTGAAATAAGTCAGAAAGTGAAAGTCAATTACTGGATCATTTCACTCACTTTGATATATATATAATTAAAGAAAACAGAATGACCAAAAAAAAAAAACCAGTAATGACTCTTAGACTCTGGAAAATAGGACTATTACCAGAATTAATGAGGTGAGGGGGATGGCGGGGGGGGTACGGAGTTGGGACAGGGTGTTGGCTTTGGGGCTTTGTGGAGGATGAGTGAACACATGCACACATGGAGCTGTGACACTGTCCTTCCCAAATTACATAGTCAGATACCCAGATAGCAAATCAATAACATTTTTTTAGAAAGAATTTTCTAAAGCAAAAACAATGGAAGAGACTGTTTTGAAGATAGAGAATTACCCAACAGAGATATCACAGAGAATATTCCTTCATTAAATAAAAGCTAAACTAGGGGAATGCTACACTTATTGCCCACCCTGAGAAGCTAGGATTCTAAGTTTTTAAAAGCCCATTGGTGAAGCTCAGACACTCCCAGAATGAGCTCATAGCAGAAGCAGACCATGAAGCCTGGCCCTGGCTCTCCTCAGACCCACAGACATACAAATGATATACCCCAGGATGAACTGATCCCGAGAGTCCCTTCCAAAAGCTCAGGGCCAGAGCTCCCAGGAGCAGTCCTCAGGCTGGGGCCTGGGAATGTGCCTTAGCCACCCTTGTCTGGCGCCTCGGAAGCTTCTCCTTTCCCCAGCTACACAGAGGTTGTGAAGACTTCCCAGGGATTAGGGGAGGCAGAAGGAGAGTCCCCCAGGACTGTCCCTTGCCAGGCTGAGACACACTGGCTCCGCCCACAGCCTTCTGTCTGCTAGGGCCGAGGGCCTATTCCCTATGGGGTTTGGCTACCATGGGATCAGTCTCCAGCCACCAAGAGTTGCCTGGGATGTGGATTCCACAGAAGTCTGGCTATTTGGCGTCACTGCCCAAGCCTGGCCTGCAGCCCACTGGCCACAGAGACTCATGGCTGGCAGAGCTGAGCTTTCCCTCAGGAAGTGAGTGGACTCAACAGGTAGAAATGTGAAGTCCACTGCTGTGTCCAGCTGTGAGCACACGTGTACGTGTGTGTGTGCGCACGTGTGCATGTGTGTGCGTACACACACACACACACGGGAAATGACTATCCTTAAGACCAGAGGGAGGAGAAAATGCTAAGTGACTGGGGCACACAGCGTGACAACCCGAAGGGCGGCGGGGGCCGCGTGTAAAGCTATTGCTGACAGTGATGCCATGGGAGGTACATTTGGGTCTCAGCAAAGGGATGGTGCTTCCATGGTTCCACTCAGCTGAGTAAGAAGGGCACATGGAGCAGAACTGTGATATGACATCTTTCCTCTAGTAGCTTTCTTCTAGGTGAGCCTGAGTCTGTTTCCCAAGCAGGCTGACTATGAGGATTAAGTGGGGTCACTGAGGAAGCACCTAGGACTGAACTGAAGATCAGTTAGTCAGATGCAGAGTTGGTCAAGGGCTGGCTTGGGTAGCTGTGAGCTTCCTGGCACTGGCGGTTTCAAGCAAGGCCTGGAACTCTCTGGCAGGGGAGGCTGTAGAGGGCTGCTCACACGTGCAGGGAGGGAAGCCCCAGGCACTTTGGCCTCCGGGCTTCCACTAATTCTTCCAGCTGCTGCTCATTTCTTTAGTGTCTGAGCGGGAGACAAGCCCTTCTTAGCTGCAGCCTTGAGCCCAGCAAGAAACCTCAGTAGAGGTGTCCTGAGGGCACAGGCTTTGAGGGCTGGATGAGGGCAGCATCTGCTGCCCTCATCAGAGCTGAGAGGGCTAAGTCCTGCTGGCTCCCCACTGGGGTCCAGAGACCAGAGGCTGCAGGAGGCCAGAGGAGCTCAGCCCTCTGGGCCAGCAGGTGTGCACGGTGCTGTCAGGAGGAGGAGAGCAAGGGTGTCCCTCACATAGGGTCATAAAGGCCCGGTCTCTCTACTCTCACCTTCCCTGCGGGTCTGGGGAGAGCACGAAAGGACAGTTTGTGATCCTGTAGAGAGCTTCCTGAACTGAGGCCCAGAAGTTCCCATTCTGCTTACAAGCTGTGTGAGCTTGTGCGAGTCATCTGCATTCTCTCTGCTGCTTTGTGAAACAGAACTCGAAATACTAGGTCAGAACATCTCCCACAGCACTGCGAGGCTCAAAATAGCAAATGTGCCTTCTAGCCTGCAAAGTCCTAGGCAAAGAACT